CTTATTTTTCATTTCCTCGCTCCTCGGTCTCGGTCTCACCGGAAGTTGATTTGTCTGCGCCATCTTGAGTAGCGTCCCAATGGCCTTATTTTTGCCGGAGGAGCGAGGAGCGATAATGGAGGAGCTATAACCGAGGAACCACCAGACCATCCTCCGATGAAATCCTCAGACACTCGCGCCGCCCCCTTACTGTGTATCGCTCACTGATTGGACGATGCAGTGCATGCACTGATCTGATGCTTCTTGACATGAGAGCAGTTTCCCAGCGGAGTGAAGAAAATACATGAACCTCACGGGAGTCACTCCTCAGTCTATACCATGTTTTGTTTCAATTAATGTATCATTTAGTTACAAATATGTGATATATCTGAACAACAAAGTGGTCAAAAATCATTTTATTCATGTTTTGGAAACATTTTCATGATCGCTTTTTTCGTTTTACATTTTCATTTATTGTCATTTCCATTCAGTCAGTCATTAAGTGCTATTTAAAATGTTAATTTGCTACATATCCAAACAAACAAACAAAGTGTGCAGTCCAATGAATGTTAATCTAACTGGGTTTTATACATATCTCTTTTTCTTCTCTCAATTATTTTATTTCTATTGTGCACTCTAATCAATATTAATCAAACTATTGTTCGTTTATACATTTTAAGAATGGCGTTTATCTTTTTTGAGAATGAGTTTTTATTTAATTTATTTGGGTCTACAACAGATGATACAAATGTTTGTGTCAGTAAATGTGTATGGTGTGTGTGGAAATAACGGGGACAGAGCTGCTGTTAGACGATCAGCTGTGCAGCGCACAAACGGACGTCGCTTTACGTGACGCTCCAGAGGAAAGGACGTCCTATTGCTCTTAAAACTCATTTCCCTGCTTCTCGTGGTTTCCTTGCGTCTCTCCATGCTTCCCTGGTGGGAGGGACTAGTCACAGGGAAATGACGTAAGTGAGGGAAGCAAGGATTCCATTTAACCAAAGTGAGAAGGGCCCAAAGACTGACAAAGACAAAGGAGTCCTGCTGGAGTCATGAGGGAGGCAAATCCTACTTTGATTGAGCCAAGTATCGCTGGTGTTTTATTTTGTTTTTTAGCCCCTCATGCTATAATCATGTGTATTGTTGCGAAACAGAATAGCCAGCATGTGTAGTTCTGGGGACGGGGGGGGGGGGGGGGGGGGGGGGACGCGGTGGACCCGTTCAAATCCAGTTTTGGACAGTCTGCCGTGATTCCATCCCATTTCAAGTGCTGTTCGAGGCTCGGCGTAACCCTCGGAGCACACTCTCCAATCACAGAGCTTGAGGACTATCACGGGGTTTGTCAAACAGAACACATGGTGTAGTCCAAACGATAGCTGGGGATTCTGGGTAGTGTAGTGTCTTCTGCCATCCTTTACTCCGAAAAAATATTTGTTTCTCCGAATCGAAGGGGAAAAATACAAAAGCATTGCACACAATTTAAACCAATCAATGTTGTGTAATTAACAAGGATAATCTGGTGTTTTTTAGTCGATGAGTAGTGCAGATATCACTGTAAAATCAATCGACAGTAAGGGGAATACTTACTTCCGGGTGTACAATTCTCCGTTATCCAATGAGAATGGACGCTCACATTGCCTTTAAGGGCAGCCGACACAAACGAACGCCGTGCTTCCATGAGCGTCCATAGAAGCATATGGACATCCCGGAAAGCTGAAAATGGACGCTAAGGGCCCCCCCTTGCGTTGAAAATGGACGCTAAAGCCGACAGGGGACTTGACATAACGTCAACATAGGCCGACCTGGGAGTGAGGATGTGTTGCTGGACCCTATCCCTTCAAACCTCCTTCAGACTATCGCTCCTGATATTCTACCGTTTCTCACCCATTTCATCAACACTTCTCTAACTTCTGGTCACTTTCCAAACAGTCTCAAGGAGGCAAGAGTAAACCCTCTCCTAAAGAAACCCACTCTCAACCCGTCTGATGTTATAAACTACAGGCCTGTCTCTCTCCTCCCGTTCCTGTCTAAAACACTTGAACGCGCTGTCTTTAAACAACTCTCCTGTTATCTCCATCAGAACAACCTTCTGGATCCGCACCAGTCTGGTTTCAAGGCAGGTCACTCCACAGAAACTGCCCTCCTTGCTGTCACTGAGGAACTGCACACGGCTAAAGCAGCCTCCCTCTCCTCTGTCATCATCCTTTTGGACCTGTCTGCTGCATTCGACACAGTGAATCATCAGATCCTCCTTCGCACTCTCCAAGAACTTGGAGTTTCAGGCTCTGCACTTTCCCTCATCACCTCATACCTCAAACAGGGGTAGACATTAAGGGTAAAATTCCACTGGCCCGGAGCATTCGTTAAAAAAAAATCGACTAATCATGAAGAAAATTAACACATTTGTTGCAATAGTAATTTATGCACAAACTACATTACTACAACATTAATCATTAAAATTAAAATTATTATATTGTGGTCATTGTTAAAAAATGTCTGCTATTATTATGAGTATTATTATTAGTATAATGTGCTTTCTGCCTTCCTGTCATTATCAGGAGTTAGAAATGTAATGGCTATGTAATAGATTAGAACCTTCATTCTCCTAAACTGCTGGGACATTTCCCTATAGCGAATATACCTTTATATGTTCTACTCTTCACTTACTTGTCAGCATAGGTCGGCATTGATGTACAGAGCCGACAGAAGACCTTGTTTATATTGGCATCATATTGAGAGGTGCAGTGACGCATCCTAAAACCCGGAAGTAAGCTGCTGGTTCCCTCGACAAAAAGCAATAGGATTTCTCCACCGGGTTTTGGAAAATAGCTGGAAATAAGGTCTGTGGAAAACGAACCTGTTTGATAAATGCACGTTTTGTTTAGCCGGATAATCTCCACACCCTACTTTTATAATTTTCAAATCCTAAATCTAATCGATAGATTTATGATTCGAAAATTATAAAAGGGTTTTAGGATGCATCACTGCACCACTAGAAGCCAACTCCATCGATCAAGCTGGCTGAAACTTTCTCTCCCTCTTCTTCTCATACTCCCTGTCACTCTCCTTTAACTCCTCTGGTGACTTTCTTTTATTTGAAGATCGTTTTTGCCCGGCGCTTGTCCGGTTACCGCTGGTATTAAAAACATTTTGGCGAATGTAGGTGGCGCGAAAGTCTGTAGTGAACGAGCGCGCTCCCGCTCACGGGAGCCTGCTCGCGCTGTGCTCCGCAGGAAACAGCTGTTTGCTTTTCACCCAACAACGACAACCGCCTCACGAAACGCTATGTTGTAGCGTTAATAAACTAAACAATTTAACAAAATGGCTTGTGAAAATACCTATAACACAGGACCATTTTCTTTTTTTAAAAAACAATATTTTTAGTGGCCCGAGCGGGCAAGTGGAAAGTACGTTATGCTGGCCCGGGGGGTCTGAAAAGTGCTTCCGGGCCAGCGGGCCATTTATAATGTCAAGCCCTGTCAAAGACCGCACCTACAGGGTTACTTGGAGAGGGTCGGAGTCCGACCCTTGTCAATTAACTACAGGGGTCCCTCAGGGCTCTGTTCTTGGTCCCCTCCTCTTCTCCTTGTACACAAACTCGCTCGGATCAGTCATTAGCCCGCATGGTTTTTCATACCACTGCTACGCTGACGACACCCAATTAATTCTGTCCTTTCCCCGCTCAGAGACCCAGGCCTTCGCACGCATCTCTGCTTGTCTAGCTGACATCTCTCAGTGGATGTTTGCTCACCACCTCAAGCTCAACCTTGACAAGACTGAACTGCTTTTCCTTCCGGGAAAAGATTGTCCCACTCTTGACCTAACAATCAACATCGGCACCTCAGTTGTTTCCCCGACTCAGACTGCAAGGAATCTGGGTGTGACCCTAGATAGCAAACTGTCCTTCACTGCAAACATAGCTGCTACAACCCGCTGCTGCAGATACACACTTTACAACATCAGGAGGATACGTCCCCAGCTGACCCAGAAAGCGACGCAGGTTCTGGTCCAGACTCTTGTCATCTCACGCCTAGACTACTGCAACTCCCTCCTGGCTGGTCTACCTGTATGTGCCATCCGACCTCTGCAGCTCATCCAGAATGCAGCTGCTCGTCTGGTCTTCAACCTTCCTAAATTCTCCCACACCACGCCGCTCCTCCGCTCCCTTCACTGGCTTCCGGTAATTGCTAGAATCCACTTCAAGACAATGGTACTTGCGTACCATGCTGCGAATGGATCTGGCCCTTCCTACATCCAGGACATGGTTAAACCGTACACCCCAGCACGTGCACTCTGCTCTGCATCAGCCAAACAGCTCGCTGCACCCGCACTGCGAGGGGGACCCAAGTTCCCATCAGCAAAAACACGTGGGTCCAAAATGGTGGAATGAGCTCCCCATTGACATCAGGACAGCAGAAAGCTTACACACCTTCCGGTGCAGACTGAAAACTCATCTCTTTCAACTCCACTTCGAGCGATAGAACTATTAACAAAGCACTTATATACTAATAAAGGACTGGCTTATCTAAAGCCAGTTGAGTAGCACTTGAAATGTTTTAGCTCTATGAAACCTGATGTACTTATATGATTGGTCGAACGCACTTATTGTAAGTCGCTTTGGATAAAAGCGTCAGCTAAATGCAATGTAATGTAAAAGGACATGTCACCCTGCTGGTTTTATTAGGGCCATTACAGACATGTTTCATTTTCGTAGAAGACTGAAGTTCTTTGATGGTGAGACCTTGGCTGTGAATGAATGAGACGCTTTTGTACAGAACTGGTATGGTTCCTACAGGAAAAACTATTAGATGTGATGCGTGTGTTTCAGTGGCGAGCCGTGACTTTTATACCTAGGCCCTCTGTCCTGCACTCCTTTCTGCCCTAATGGCACTTTAGAGGCTAAGGGCCAACAGCTTCTGTAGAAACACTTAACAGTTATAAATATCAGTGAACATTTTGAATAGCCAACTATTTGAATGGCGTACATTTGATTCCAGCAAAAACAATTAGAAAGACCAAAGCATGTTGTGCTGAAGTTGCATTGTAATTGCATTTATTTTTCCAATAGATATTCACATTCATAGCAAAGAAACTATTTCATCTCTACGGTCATGAAAGAAAGAAATCACAAAGTGAAATCAAGGACAACAAAGGTCAATTCTAATGGTAGAAAAGAAAAACATTTGTTCATAGAAATAAGTCAAATAATGCTTCAAAGAAAAAAATGTGTTGTGGAAAACAAATCCAGCTCTTTCCACGGTGACAAAATATAACATTTGTGGCTTTTACTCTTCAAAACAGTTTGTAACACTTTAAGAGCATGCCTTTTAAAGAAAAATGCTAATTCATGCGTCACTTTCTTGTGCTTAAACAATCAAAACAGTAACTTTATTGTCTCTATGTAAGACAGAAAAACAGTACAAAGATTGTTTTGTTTGAAAGACTTCTTCTGGCCATAGTAGATTCAGATTAATATCATAATAAGGAAATTGCATTAATTGTACATACTACAAATAGTATCAATCTATACTGATGTTGGAGGACTGTCAGTTGTAGTGTAGTGTCATCACTGTGGACGACATGGAGGATTCAAGCTGGTTGTCATGCGTGTGTAAAGATAAACAAACTTCACGGTTCTATGTTTTGAATGTCAACCGCCGCTGCGCGATAATGGACACAGCACTTCAACAGCAAAGCTTCAATTCACGAGAAACGGCAGCAAAAAGAAAAAGATAACTTTTAATCAAAGAAAAGTGCCTTTTTTAAATTCATAGGACTGAGTGAAACTGTGGGCCCTCTTCAGTTACTGGTTTCAGCTCCTGACTCACACACAGGCCTCCCACAGCTCTCTCAGGTCCCTTTTGTCTGCCACACAAAGACCAGAACAACAGGGCTGTTGACAGGCTGAGGTAAAGTGATGTGCCTGCTGGCCGCCATCTGTGGGGACAGGATGGCAGCTAACAATCTGGATGGAAGGAGAGTCTTCCCCCTGTGTCATATTTCACCTCCTCGCTTAATTTACAGCTACGGTATCGCTCAACAATGACCTCCTTTCTACTGTAAGTGGGGGGCAAAATGACCTCCAGCACCAACGAGGGGGTCCTCTGCCTCCCGCTAAACAAAGGTTGCTTGATACATGAGAAGCCTTTATTGCTAAGATCCACTCAATAAAAACGTTCATTTTGTGCTTTCAACTTTGGTTCCGTTTTGCATATGGGCATAATAACTGGCAACTTACTGCTTCAATATTTGAATTGTTGCATAACTCAACTCAACTCTCTTGGAGATCTTCCAAGTTTGGATAACATAAAAGTCTCAGAAATACTTCAGTGTGTTCTGGCATGTAGCCATTTGGAACTAAAGTCAGGGAGCTTTATGTAGCAGAAAACAAAGAAAGTGGTGCTTACATAAACCTCCCACAAAGACAGCTCGACTGAATCAAGTTCTTCCCTCATGGTCTTAATTCAGGATGCATACTAGATAGTCAATCATGTTAACCAGCATCTTTGCTTGAACTCCATTAAACCCTGATTTATGACAGCATAAAGCAGACAATTGCATTTCAGCTAGTAAGACTCTGGATGTCTCTCCGCACAAAGGCTGAAATTGATTGTGGACAGAAAATTCTGCTGGGGGCTGGATATGAGATGAGAAGAGAGGGTACAGCAGAGGAGGCGTTTCAACAGTGCAGGGACTACAAATAAAAACACGGGGCAGAAGAAGGTTGGTCACACAGACACCCTGACGAAACCTGTCTGACTGACAAGGCAGAAATATGTTGCTGACCAGCATGGTGACAGGCCAAAAGGAGATTGAGGAAATATTGGGCAAACGGTCTGCTAGGAATAGAAGCTTGAGCTGAGAGTGTTTCCTGGTCAGCTTTTTCAAAAAACCTTGATGAGTGTCAACACCACGGTCTGCCTGCAGATCTGTCATGGTGGCTGATGTGATGCATAGACATGTTTTGATGTGTGTGTGTGTTGTTGCGCATGAGGGTGTGTTACTGACAGCTCCAGGGGTCATTGACCAAGTAAAAGGAACCCACAACATGGGTCTGCTTCTTTTCCATAGCCGTTTGTTTTATATACAGCTCAATATATCACATTAAAGTGCATGAGGGCCAAACCATAAAACACTTTTTTAAAGTCTATTTTTTGATGATTTTGTAATCAATACTTACATTTGTTGGCGTACATTTGTGATAACATTGATTTCTTTCAAGTATACAATCAGTTAGTGGTAATAATCATAATGCCAGTGATGTAGCTTAGGTTACAGGTGGGGTATAATCACAACAAGGCTTGTCCAGCAATCGAAATGCTTACTATTAAGGTCAAATTCAACTAAAAGACAAGATATAGTTACAGTTTTGATATACTGTAACCATATACCGTACCTTTAAGTTATATTTGAATGAACACATTTGGGGATGCTGTAAAACATGAGTGTGAGGAATAAAGACAGTTTAAAAGCCTTGTGAGAATACATTAAATATATCCAATAGAGTATCTACTACTTCACATAAGCTATGATTGTTCACAGAATTTCTGTCCTTTAGTCTTTTTCTGACTTGTCACATGTACACTCTTGTTCACTCAACAGCCAAGGGCAACAAACACATTCCAAACATGCACACACACTCGAACATGCATATAGGCAGACATGTGAGGAAGAGGTTACAGTATGCTTCTTCAATGTTTCTGTAAGACACTTCATTGTGGCGTTTACTGGTTGCAGAGAGTGAAACAAATGAAAGGTGAGAGCGGGAAGTGTGTGATAGATGAAAGACAAAAAATCAGCTGGGGGATTAGCCATGGTGGATTTGCGGGATTACAATCTGATGAAATGTCCTTTGAGAGGGAATTATTGGGAATAATGGGATAACTGTTCCCTCACATGACAAGCCAGTACCCTCATCTCCTATTTTTTCACTCAGGCTACCCTGGGGCAATGTGTATGTTTATGTGCGAGTCTTTCTGAGGCCCAGATATACACAGAAGGTTATAGATTCAAATATCCCAGCCAGTTACTTAGCCCTTTCTTTTCAGTCTTTTTAACATGGTCTCAGGCCAATGACAGCATGGGTCGGCTGATCTAGTCCAGCATTGAGAACCCTGTGGACTTCTCCTATAACCGAAGCAGCAGGGGTCGTAGGTGTCAGGTGTGTGAGCATTTCAACATGCACCTAGTTTCCAAAAACACTCTCCTTAAAGACTTAACACCAGAAGGAGAAGCAAGTGCACTGTACGGCATGTTCAAATGTGTACAGGGGTGTGCTGGGACTATAATATGTACTGATTGTGACAACAGGGCAGTGTCAATAACATCCCTGTAGAAAGAACCGAGCTTCAACAACCAACCTCCACGGTTCCTGATCACTAAATCTACAATACGCAGCAGTTATTGCAGTCAACAAAGTGTGCAGCTTTCCACCTCATTGCCTATTTTTCACATGTTATTCAATGACATCCTAATTCAATCATCCAGAGACTGGACGTGGGTTTGTTGAGGATATTAAAAAAGGGGGTGAACAAAGGCCTTGTAATTGTTTTAAATGAAATGCACAGGACTCAGAAAGCAGGTGTGAATACGCTCCTGATTTTAAGAATAGCACCCTTAATTCAAGAGAACACAAAGCAAAATGAGGGAAAGTTGGTAAAAAATCCCTTTTTAACAAGGTTTCAGGCAGGCAACACAAAAAAATACAAAAATAAGATGTTAAAGTGACAATAGACAAGCTGTTTTACTTACCATTATGAATTAAAGGGTGGGCAATCTGATGACTGTAGTGCAATGACGACCAGCATTCAGAATGATTTCCTATCAGCCTCGCTTTCCCTCAATTGCAATTATGTCTGCCTTGGGAAAATTAAGGCTTGATTTACAGTTTCCTGTGCAGGGTTGCCAACTATTTTCTATGAAAAAGTAGCTAAAAGTTGGCAGGCTTTTTGTCATATTGGCCAAGTCACTGCATTAATTGCATAAAGGTTATCGATTGTGCCATTGTTTGTGGAAAAGTCGTCTATTGTCACTTTAATTTGTGTTATTGGACCATATGAAGTAGATGTGCGTGGTGGGGGTCAGTGTGGTGATGTGGTGGGGGTCAGTGTGGTGACTTGGTGTGATGGGACTATGTGGAAAGCGAGGTAGGCATGTTAATCAAACACACATAAATGCACTAACACACAGTTGCTCTCCCACACACTCCTTGATGGTCCCCAGAGACATGTTCCCCTTAAATTAAAACATAACAGTTAAAAGTAAAATAATACTCTCTATATATAAAGCAGGTAAATAACACTACTCTCCATGGTAACTAAATTGTGAGACAGCCATTCTAGGATGGATTGAGAGGCTGAAGATACTTTATCTTCGACAGGTGTGAGACTACCGTACTAGAGGGACAGGAGGCTGATAGCTATGTGAAGAATCTAATGAACCTGTTGTCATGGTAACAACCGTGTGGGAGCGCCACACAGAGATGAGGGTTGCGGGCCGGGGATCTGGCAGTGAGATATGTCCATGATCACTCAGGGTTGAAGGAAAGGAGGCTGCTACATTCCCAGCCCCACGGCACCTCACGCCTTCTTCCTGGCCCCCTCAGCGTCCTGGCACTCCACCACAGAGAGCGAGATCAGCATCTGGGCGGCGTAGTACGTGGCCATGATGATGGCGCGCGAATGGGGAACAGGGAAGCAGAACTTGTTGACGGCGATGGTGAGGTCGGAGACCATGAAGAGCACGGCGCCAAGGCAGGCGCACAGCTTGGTCCAGGTCCACAGGTCGTTGGCCAGCTGCAGGCCGGCCACCGCCCTCCAGCCCATGAAGCCGATCAGACCGATGTAGACGGCCACCAGGTAGGTGAAGGGTCCCGACAGGTAGGGGTACAGCAGCAGGTAGCTCACTGAAGACACAGCAGTGACCACCAGGCCAGCAGTCACATTAACGGGCTTCATCCCGAAGGCCAAGGAGTACAGGATGTGGGTGATGGCAAACATCAGAAGGCCTGCAGGAAAAGATGATTTAAAAGTAAATAAACGTTTTTTATATTTGTATCCTACCTATCTGTCGTAGGTCAAAGCTTGAATCATGACACAATAAAATAAGGGGTAATTACAACTTGGATGTTATATTTTTAGCGTTGACCGATGTCTCTATGGGTTATGACAACTTTTTAACTCTCCATAGTGTAAGAGAATATTTTAATCTGATCTGTTTATAGAGTTTCCTATAGTTTCTTAGATTCTGTGATACTGCAAACATGTGTTTGACTTATCAGTCAAAGACTCCTCTGTAAGTTGAGGTCACAGGTCAAACGCTTCTCCTATATCCGTGGGGGAGGGTTGAGACCTGGCTGCATCTCTTTGAGACAAGGAGATTATTGTCTCGCATTTTGCTATTGATTAGGTAAACGCGGGCTTCTGGGAGCCCGCCTCTCCTCGTGTTGTTAGATGTTTTGTGTCTTTTGGGGCAGAGATCATGATGGTGGAGCACGGGACGGTGTGAAACTAAGTGATCTCCCCGGCCGTATTAATGTACTGTGATCAATAAAACTCTCAGTGCTTTGGCTAATCGACGTTCCAGACTCCTTCATTCTACCTCAACATTGCAACAACAGAAGTTTATCTTCACACATAGTACATTCTTTGAACTGGAAACACTGAGATATTGCAACAGCATGTCACAACAGGTCTAATGGTCCAAAAAAGATGAGGCCAACAGCTTTGTCAAACTAGCTACCACGCATGGAAGTAAACCCAGGAAGTAGGAGGGGGAAAAAGTAAGAACAGCAGGTCAAAGTCAACCCAGAAGTTATGTCTGTAAATAATAATCATCAATGAGGAATGTTTACAACAGATGTGCTGAGTGTTATCATTTTGTCGTAAAGGTTTATTTGGGGGGGGGGGTAATTTAAAATGTACAGCTAACTTTGGGTTCCCAGATACAATTCCCATATTCAATGATGACTAAACATTCAAAAATAAGGCCCAAACTGAGATGTAAAATTAATGAGTAATAAGTCCTGTAGACAATAATAATAAAGCAACTCAGTGAGTGTGGATTTGGCTCACCGTAGACGAAGTAGCCCTGCTCCTGCCAGATGAGAAAGGCATCGCCCAGAGCAGAAAAGACGAGGCCAGCAAAGATCTTGCGAGCATTGGAGCTAGCACCTAGGAAGCTGAAGCCATGCGCCAGTAAGAACATCCAGAGGCAGAAGATGGGTAGACATTTGATCAGTGCGCTGAACCAGGAGGGGCTGGAGGTGGGCAGCCACAGCACAAAGTACACACAGGTGGCCTTGAAGAATGGTACCAGCTTTGGGCCTTCACTCTTGACCTGTAAGCAGTTTCAATATTAACATTAATTATGTTGTCATAGTTGGTTGCACTAACATAAGGGAATCCTATTCAGTGAGCCGTGTGACACCATTTACATTCTGCCTTAAACTAGATTTAACAAAAGTCCCTTTATTTCAAGGAAGATGGCTTGAGATATGATAAGACAGGAAGCAGACACTTCAAAGCAGACAGCACTGTGTGTGGTGGAGGGACAGTTTCTCACATTGATTAAAAAGGAAACATAATCAGCAGAGCACTGCAACTATTTCTCCTTATTTGGCAAAGTGGTTAGGGTTCAGAATGGAACAGCCTTCAGGGTTGCTTTGTGGTCACTAGTTTGTATCTCTGTGTCAGACATGCACGTGTTTTGTGGCTGAAATGAAACTCTGCAGGAACAGCAAAAAGAAGGGAAATGAAAAAAGGCTCCACAGTGTTCCTTTGACCTCCTGTAACCTGTTCTTCTCTTCATTTTTTGACTCTCCCTGTTGTGTTTTTGTTCTCCTTCTCCTGTTTCACCTTCATTCTCAGTATCTCTTGAAAACTGTGAAGCATATTGAAGTCTCAATTTCATCTTTCAAGCTGTGATACTACATATTTATTTCTGTCCAAATACATGAGGCCCAACTGGGTCACAAAGAAACAAAGAGGTTTCACAACACCTCTGGAATGACTACCCAACAATGGTTGAGAAATGCTTAAGGGGGGAAAGCCCCAGGGAATCAAAGAGGGAGAAGAAAGGGGATTTTGAGTTTCAAAGGAGAGGAATTGAGTGAGGATTCACTAGAGCTGAGATCCCTGGAGGAGAGATGAGGAGGAGACAAAAAAGACAGGGAAGGGAGGAAGAAGAAGGGGTTATAGTGAAACAAGGAAAGGGTTGTGATGTCCCAATTGACAGTTTTCCAGTTGCTCTTTCGCATCCATCTGGTAAATGATTTAAAAAGCGAAGCTCTGATTGAGAGTGGCAGATAAGAAGAAGCAGGATGAATCATGGGGAAGTGACGCTATTGGGAGGGGGACAGTGAGAGGGATGGGGTTACAAGCGTTCAGATGACAGCTAGATTTAGGATTGAACACATTTGGGAGGGAGGTGAGGAGGTGAGAGAAAAGTAAGGGTTACTATAGGTCATATTTTCTATGCTCCAGGAGTAGAGTGCACCAGCTGGACGTAAAAAAGGAGGTCTTAACTCTAACGTCTGGCTTAGCTACGTCCGACTTAGTGATTCAAATTAACATCGAGTGCACCAAGCCTGACTAGTCACGGTCGTAGCTGCGCCTATTCTTAAGATTCCACGTCCACGTCAATACACACGAAACATTAATTGTTGCCAAGCAACACACGTCTACATCATTTAACACTCGAACTTCTCCATTCAAAGCAGCCCGTTAGCGTAAAATCTGAGCGCAATCAGCACCTGCAAGGTTGGGGAGAGCGCCGCGTTTCGGTCTGATCCATGCTGTAGTTGAGGGGAGATCTCCTCGATTAATTCAAAAAGGGCTTGTCTGTCGAAACGAAAGCACTCCATCAGCTCGTTGTCCGAATAGATGTCCAGTGAGTTTGTTCGATCACGGACGACTCTCTCGTCTTAATGCCCTTTCATTGTTAAACCTGTAAACAAGACGCACTGCCATCATTATATTTCCTTCTTGCCTGTTTTACGTTACTATGGATGCTACTCTGTCTTTCCGATTTACGCCTGCTCCATACTAGGCGTAAAAGTTACACCCATACAGGGCTTAGGTCTAGTGGTGCACTAGTCATAACTTTAGTTTGGTCTTAACCTTCGGTTCTATGTCGGACGTAGAGTTACACCCAGTCTTACACTCACTCCTGGGATATGAACTATAGTAACCCCTAAGGAGGATCCTTATTGCACAACTGCTCAAAAAAGTTGTGGGCAAAAAGATCAGACTAAATGTTTGACCTCAAGCCTGCCCTGAGGCCTGTACTACAAAGCCGGATTTTTGCTTAGCGAGCTAACTTCAGGGAAAAGTCGGGGTTTCCGGTCCTACGACGCTGGTTCTCTTTTTAGCGGGCTAGATCTCCATGGTAACTTATGCTGTGCGGCTAACCTGCTCCGGAGCAGGTTAGGTTGCAGGCTAAGAGATCAACTCAGTGAAAGCACTGCCTGCTGACCAATCAGAGCTCAGTGTGCGGAGTTTAAAGTCATATTACAGGAGAAAGGAAATACAGAAAAGCTGCTGTTGCAGGAAAGACAGCCGGCAAAAATCACCGACTGTGTGAACGTGAACATTAATAGAATATCACCTCCCATCTTCAGAGCAATCTGACTATTATAACATTAGCGTTACGAAAGCTTACTTAAATATCTGCCACAACATAAGTAACCGGATCATTGTAAAATTACGTACAGTCCGCCATGATTTTTTTTTAAATGTTGAAGTTATCTGGTGCATTTTGAGAGCAAAATTAAGAGATTTATGGATAAATCTCTCAACACCCATATAAAACAGAACTGTAAGCAGATTTTTTCTTTTTCTTTATGGATATTTTACAAATCACTCCCTTTTTAAACTGTATTCTTGTTATTTTTAACAACTTTTTTGTTTCTGTCATATAGTATTTTATACCTGTTTTTTCATTTAGTCTCTTCTTTTTTTATAACTATAATGATCATATCAAGGTGTGTGGCTTAGCGCGGTGAAGTTAGTTTTAGGTTGAATATTCGACAGACATTCTTGGACCAACCAGCAGCGTCAGTTTCTTGCCTCTTCACTTAATGTTGTGTTTTTTTTCAGTATTAAACATTCAGTAGTATTATTGGTGCCACATTGTACCTATTTATTTCAAAGAGGGGAAAAGAGGAATAGCAGGTTTACTGAATAAATGTCTCAAGCAGCAATTTTCTAGATAGATAGATGGATAAGACTTAGCTTTCGGCTTACACATTAAGATATTATCAGTCTCCAACAGATACAAGTTGTAGGGCTGAACGATATACCGTGTCATGGCGATAACCGCGGTATGCGCATGCGCGGTATTCACACCGCAGGGACGTGCGGTTTTATTCTTTTTTTTAAAAATGCTAACGCACTTTAGCACAGAATTCAAAATAAAGATACCCTTATTACTTATCGAAACTGCACATACAATATATCCGATTAAAGCTGAGACTCCACAGATTATTTAAGTATAGTATCTAAGCGATCCGATCTCGCAACAGGGGAAGCAAACACAGACATCACAACACGTACCTTTTACGGAGCTTTTACGGGAGATCGTCTCACCGTAGCTGTCAATCTGATCAAAAGACGTGTTCAATGGCATTAAAACGAGAAAGAAAAAACGCGGCTGAATCGGTTGATCCATAGGTTGATAATGTATCTGTGGCTTTGAAGCAATTGTTTATAATCCATAATTCCATTTGTATGTAAAAATCGGAGCACAACAGTTAGCTGCTAACGGTAGCCACCAGAATGTATGCAGCTTCCGGTTTTGGCTACGCGTCATTCTCACTCCTTATTTGGTAATGTGTGTGTGTTAGACTGCCGCATAGCCAAGACCGGAAGCAGCAGCCACTCTGGTGGCTACCATTAGCAGCTAACTTTTGCTCTGCGATATTTACATAAAAATTGAATTATGGATTATAAATTAAATCATTGTTTTATACAGAGACGTTAAAAACCTATGGATTATCCGATTCAGCCGCGTTTTTTCTTTCTCGTTTTAATGCCATTGAACACGTCTTTTGATCAGATTGACAGCTACGGTGAGACATCTCCCCTCGAAGCTACGTAAAGGTACGTGTTGTGATGTCTGTGTTTGCTTCCCCTGTCCGAGTTCAGATCACTCAGTGATGATACTATATACCTAAATAATCTGTGGAACCTCAGCTTTAATCGGATATCTTGTAAGTGCAGCTACGATAAGTAGTAATAAGGGTACTTTTATCTTGAGTTCTGCTCCAAAGTGCGTTAGCATTTATCGCTCAGGGGTCATTTAGATGCTTCTTATGAGACTTGTGCTTTGTTTTGGTAAAAATGGTTTGTATCGTCAGTTATCTGAGATTATTTCCGTTAATCTGGTATAACACATTAATAGGTTCTTAAATATTACGATCCCCTGAGACACTGTCGTGAAAAAAAAAAGTAAAGTACCCGCCGGGACTTTGGGGTTTAACAGGTTAAAAAAAACGCAATATATACCGCAGGGGGGGGGGGGGGGAAATCGCGATGTCAGTTTTTTTCAATACAGTGCAGCCCTAACAAGTTGTATAGGAGGAACCGTTTCACTGAGGAACACGGCGGTGTCTCAGGTGTTGAATGGGTGTCTATAGCAACCAGAGGATCAGTGGTTCAATCCCAAGCCCATGGGTATTGAAGTCGCTTTTGAGAAAAGCAACAACTAAATGAAATGTAATGTCATTTGTGTGAACTGATGCACTCCATGATTTACTTTCAATAAGCTGTTTAATACATAAAATACTTAACACAGAAAAATGTGTGTGTGTATGTATGTATGTACAACCCAGTCTCACGGCATTTCGTGTTCACCAACACGATTTTGAATCTATTGATTCGTGTTCACCAACACGATTTGCCCCTTTTTTTCGTGTTGCACAGCACGATTTTAAAAGCAATGTATTTCTACTGCCTGCAGCACGTCTTTTTCTCCGGTCGGGTCGTGGGAGACCGGAAGCTGTGTGGTTCATAAAAACATGTTCTTACTCAATATCAAGCCACAATTATTGCTTTTATTTTAAATCGTATAATTTCGGACTTTTGTTGCCGTAAAAATAAATGGAGCTCAGAGCCTCAGAATACGGAAATCTGTATTTGTAAAAAAAAATTTCCTTCTAATTCTTTAATCTTTTCAAAATAACACACTGTTATTTACTCACCAATAACACACAATTATCCTTGCTTTTATTTATTGGTTTAATTCCATAATCTCTGGCTTTTTTGGCGTCCGTCAGGAACTGAATTTCAAAATAAAAATAACCGGAAACAGACGTAGGCCTATAAGGGACATTTCGAGCA